TAAATTTATTGCAGCACTGTTCGTGATTGCTAAGACATGGAACCAACCCAAATGTTCACAAACAGATGAATGGATTTAAAAAGTGTGGCACATATACTCCATGGAATACTATTCAACCATAAAAAACAACAAGGCCCTGGAATGTGATAGAAAGTGGATGAATATGGAAGATTTGTTGCTGAGTGAAGTAAGTCAGGCTATGAAAGAGAGACATTGTATTTCTCTGCTCAACATATAATGACTGTCCGCACTCTCTGGCAGAGACTGAAAGACTGGAGGACATAAAAGCATTAAAAATTGTCGTGGATACTAGAGACAAAGTGGAAAGAGAGTGTGGGAGGGGAAGAGTATAGGAAAGGAAATTAGGGGGAAAATAAGGAGAAGTAAGATATTTGTTAGACACAGATATGGGTTATTATGTTGATGAGGATGTGTATAGTATTCTCAACTGGACTGAGATGTGTATCATGCTGGGTAAAATCTCTTTATAATCTAAATTATGTATAGTGATTGAATGTATAAATAATCATAATTTAAAAATTAAAAAAAAAACCACATGTGAGCAGTTGACAATAGTGGGGAGTAAAAATGGAGGACAAAGTGCAATAGAATAAACACATGAGTGAACAAATCCAGCCAGGGTTGGCACTGGTTTGCACCAGTTACGATAACATGTTATTAACGGGAGTTTGGCTAGTCCCACCTTCGTTTTCCAAGGTCTAAAAAGCCCCAGATAGACATGAAGTGCTATTCCAGATTCACCTGTATTCATCCAGGCCTGTCAGTTGCAGCCAACTGATACCTGCTGAATTGACTCAAGACTATATAAGACCACTTTCTCATAAAGAAGCCCTGGGGTGTCCCAGAGCCCTGAAGCTGAGAGGCTGATGGGCTTTGTGTGAGCTCAGGCTCAGAGGGCTTCTATCCCTGGGGCTTCTCCCAGCTTTTCTCTGGGTACCTGCTCCCTCTGCTTCTACTCAGAGAATAATCACCATCTTTCTGGTGAAGACTTGACCCAGACACTCTGTCACCATTTGCCAGAATAAGAGCTTTATCAGCTGGCTTGGGGACATTTATATGGGCCATGTTTGAATGAGAGAAAAGGACAAGTTTCAAATAGATAAATAAATAAATCAGTATAGAGGCTAACAGGTGACGTGGTGGTTAAGGCACTGGACTCCTATATGGCCGACTGCAATTCGAATCCTAGATCTGGCAGCTTGAAACTCATGTATTTGGAGGTATGCCCAAAACCCCAAGAGGAGAATGGAGGAGAAAGGATTGCTGTGTGGTGATCCTCCTCGTGGGTGATTTCTCACTTTTACTCTCACTGTCTGTCTCTCCAGCATGTGCTCTATGGCAAAAATCTTTTTTAAAAAAGTGTAAGATAGAATCTCATTTTTTTCTTTTTTTAGAGAGAGATTTTTGCTATAGGGCATGTGCACTCACTGAAGAGACAGAGAGAGACAGGAAGGGAAAAATCACCTCCTAGGGGGGATGATCACACTGCAATCCCTTCTCCTCCATTCTCCTCTTGGGATTTTGGGCATGCAAGCAATACGTCCAGTATGAGTTTAAGCCACCAGGTCTGGGACTTGAACCACGGTCAACTACATGGGACTCCAGCAACATAACCATTACGCCATCTGCTGGTCCCTAGAATCTAAATTTTCTTTTTTTTTTTTTTTTTTTTGGAGAGATTTTCACTGTAGGGCGCGTGCGCTCGCCAGACAGACAGAGACATAGAGACAGAAAGCGAGAAATCACCCCCCAGGGGGGATGGTCACGCCGCAATCCCTTCTCCTCCATTCTCCTCTCGGGATCTTGGGCACGACGCACACGCGCCCGGCGTGAGTTTTAAGCCACCGGGTCTGGGACACAAACCGCGGTCGACTACGTGGGAGTCCAGCGACATAGCCATTACACTAACTGCTGGTTCCCCCTAGAATCTAATTTTTATAAATCAGAAATAACTGAAAAATGCCCATTGGTTGCATGTATTTGTGAGCCTGTATACATGTAGCATATAAAACTTAAAGATAAATACAACCACAAGTAAAAATATTTTGAAACGGTACCTTCTGGGTTGTTAATGTAGGTTACCTAGCACTGGGTCATAGGATTGATGGAGACATAGGGAAACTTCAAAAAGTCATGGATAGTTTATTTTGCTGCAAAACCATGAAATCATGTGTAGTTTTTTCATAATATATATTTTCCATGAACTTTCCTTGTGAAAGAGGAAGAAAATAGAAATAAGGGATCCAAATGCTATGCTAAGCAGTGTGTATCAATACATGTATTCCTTTATGTAAAATTATGCATTCAATTAAGCAAAGGTTTAAGAAAGAGAGAGATAAAAGGGCAGTGGGAATGGAGATTTGAATCTTTATGTCACATTGCAAATTCCCAGGGAAGGACTTTGATTAGTCTGCTTTGCACCAATCAGCTATGACCAGGAAGCAGAGTCACTGGAAGTTAGTGTGTCTGTTTCTACTTTATCTATGTAGCTGGAGGCAAGGGGGGAAAGGCCCAGAAACTTGAAATGGATTAGCTAGTCACATAAAACAGTTTTCCACTATTTTTTCCCCTCTGAATTCCTAGGAACTCTAAGGAGGAGAGATTAGAGGAGGAGAGGAGCATGAACCAGGTCTGTCCTGGGCAAAGCTTAGGAATTAACCAGGCGAGTACAACGAGGACAGTAGGTGCAGATTCTGTGACAAGGCAGAGCATGCCACCCTCAGGGCTCTAAATAATTCTAAGTGATTGAAGTGGGAGGAAAAACAATGGTCGAGGAGAGGAGAGCAGAGATATGAGTGGATCAAGGAGGGCCCATGCATTCCTGGTAACGGAGGACTCAGCAAATTTGTGGGACAGATCATAGAAGGTCTTACAAGCCATCACAAGGACTTGTTTCTGGAATGAGGTGGAAACCACCAGAAGGTTGTGAACAGAGGGAACCCAGTCTGACTTAGGTTCTAATAGGATTCCTGGCTTCCGTACAGAGAAGAGACCATCAGGGGCAAGGGCAGAAGTCAGGAGACCGGTAAGGAGGTGACCATGACAGTCCAGGCAGGGTGGTGGAGCCTGTGCCATGGTGTGACAGTGGAGGAGCCAAGATTCTAAATTTTTTTTTTTATTATTATTAGAGCCCACAGGATTTCTCAGTAGGCCATTTGTGGGGTGCAAGAGGAAAGAGGAAGCTATAATGGCATCTGACCCCCAAATTCATCTGGGCCATAAAACCCATTGAAGTTTGTTCCTCTCATCTTTAGGACTTTCCAAGATGAGAATTTCAACCTGTCACCCCAGAAACGCAGTGAGGTCATTAGCCCCCATCTTAATCAGATCTCTCCTATCCTATTAAGCAATTTGGGGCCATTTCTAGAGAAGATTTTGTTATTTCCCTAAATCTCTGGCTGTTTCATTTAGACCTGGTGTTTAGGCAGAATGCAATTAACACATTCCAAACCTGGTTTTCCCTGAAATCCAATCAATTGTAACTCGTTTTCAAATCACATCGCTTTCTCTAATTGTGAGCCTCAGCCTCCGCAGAATAGCGATTTAAGTCAATTATCGCATCGCGCGTATGAAAATTGTGCTATTTATGTCGGCAGCTCCCCACATTACTGATGAGCTTCCTCGAGCTAATGGAATAATGAAAACACAAAACAGATTTACCATTCTTAATAAGAGAAAGAGATAATGAAGGCAAATTAAAATGGAAGCTCAGATCTGCATGGCGAACAGGTAATGCATTTTCTCCTTTTAAATTAACGCTCGAATTCTCACACGCTGGCAGCAGAATGGGGAATAGAAACTCTAAATTCTATTAGAGACAAGTGTGCCATTTGGGCTTGGTTTTGAAGTTGGTGGACATCGTCACACTTCCCAGAGCTTAGTTACGGGACACTGTCAGGAGCCAACATACCCACCTCCCATTTATTAAACTCACGTTCTACCTGCCACTAGGTTCAGCCCGTTACATGCATTAAGTCATTAAATCCTTTCCCAAATCTACACATTCACTAATGTTGTTATCATTATTTCACAGAAGGGGAGCCAGTTAAATCATTTATCCAAGGTTTAATGTTGTGTGTAAATCTAGCCCAGGGTGTCTCAACCTGTTGTTTTGTGCCAGATAATTTTTTGCAGTGTGTGGGGGAGGGCTGTCTCATGCATTGCTGGGTAGTTAGTAGGATCCCTGGTCTCTACCCCCAGATACCAGCAACACCCCTATACCCTCAGTCATGACAGCCGACTGATTCAACATCGGCAGAAACCGATTGAAAAGACACTGACAAACATTTTCTAGGGGCACAACTGTCCCCCACCTGGGAGCTGGTTTGGACTCTGTGTCCTCACCATCACTCTAGACAGCCACTCTTGCCAAGAAAGGGCACACAGAGGTGCCATCTTGTTAAACAAGAACTCTGCACTGGTAAGAGTGCCCCCCCCATGCCTCAGGCTATCCTAGATCCCAGGATATTTGCATGGGCTTTAGATGGGAGCCCGGAGAAAGACTGAGTTTGACTTTTCCCCTAGTTCCCTGACTTGGCATGTGGCTGGGACACCAAAGGGACTTGCTTTATGAAAACAAGATAAAACAAAAACCACCCAAGATCATGGACCAAGAATAATCCAAGAACAACGCTTGGTAAGAAAAATCCCCAGCATGGAGGTTGGCGTATAGTAGGTGTTTAGTAGATGCTAGTCCTCGCCTCGTTCCTTACCACACCATCCCCCTCCCCACCACCGACATAGGACATACTCTGCTAGCCAGAAGTCTGCTTGGGAACATTTGGTGACATTTGATAGAGGCCAATATGGTGGAAAAGGTGTTGGACTGAGCAGAGTCAGTCTGTCTGTCTGTCTGTTTGTTTATTCCCCAAAGAAGAGAGACAGAGATAACGCCCTCAACAGGGTCTTGACTCTGATCCACTCCGACCTCAGCCAGGCTGTTTGAAGTGGCTGGTACAGTCTTGCCTCAGACCACTCACCCGTGGTAGCTCATCTTCCTTTCCTGAGATCAGTTTGGCTGTGTGACCTTTGGCAGGTTGCTTGATCACTCCGAGCCTCCATTCCTGATGGGTTGCACGGGATCTGTGGATTCCCCTTTCAGCTCTCAAATGCTAGGAATCTCTGCTCCCTCTTGCAACCCCCTTTTCTCCTCCCCTTTTTCTCCCTTCTCCTCCACCTCTGCCCTCTTTTCTGTCTCTACTCTTCTGCACACAGCTCCCAGCCTCTGTCTAAACCATGATTTCCCAAGATTGGGGGAGGGGGATGGGATAGAGAAGTTCCTTTTTCCATTGGGTGGCCACATGATCATACACCAGAGGCCTTCAGGCTCGAGACCAGGGTACTCGGCTTGCCTTTTTAGGAACCTTCTAGCACAGGTAGGTCTCCCCTGACGTCTGGCTGACAAGCTAAATATTTATGGAGCGCCTAAGATTTCCCGCCACATTAAGCCCGTTGCTTATCTCTGGTCTGCACACAGTCCTTCTCTGTTCACCTTCGGTCAGACATTTCCCAGAATCCTCTGGGTTTCAGGCACCGTCTCTCAGGAGGGTGATGAAACCATGTCTGCCTCTAATCACTTCCAGTAATAATAATAATTCCTAACGGTTGTATAGGATTTCTCAAAGCACGTTTGCACGCGTTATCTCCCTCGCTTTTCACATTAACCCTGTGACTGGAATTTTATGTTGAGTCCCATTTTAGAGAGCGCTGCTAAGCCACCTGCTCCAGGGCTCGTAGCCAGCGTGTGCTAGAGCTGCCCGCTGCCTTCCTTTTGTCCTCCTGCATTGCCAAAGCCTGGCTCACCCAGCTCCAGCTCATCGGTGTAACCCAGGACAAGAGTACTCGTGGGGCCCCTGACCCTGTGCCAAATGCTTAATGTTTAACAGTTACAAACAGGAGCCGGAGGGTGGCATGGTGGTAACACAATGCTCTGTGAGGCTGACCCACGTGGAAGGTTCTGGACTTATGTTGGAGCCCTCCCTGAGTGTGCCGGACATGTGCATACCCATGATCTGGGACCTCCTGGAATTGGGAGTGGATCACAGGGTGAAGACCCTATCGAAGGTGCTGTCTCTCTCTCTCACTCGTGGAAGAAAGACAGACTTAAAAAAAGGAAAACAAAAACAAAAACAAAAACGGATAAACAAAGCTAAACCTGGGTTTTCTCCTCCTGCTTTGACAAGTACACCCGGAAGGCTGAATTGGAATTTTAGAGATCTTGGACTTCTTAGAGTTTCTACTGCATTGATCTAGAAGCCATGTTATAATTTTAGTTTCACAATCTAGTTAGTTTTCTGTTGGCCAGAGTCAGTTTAAATTTCTGTCACTTACAACTGGAAAGTCCAGATAATATGGCTGCTCTGGATGACAGACCAGGGGCCAGGAAGGAAGGAAGGTCAGAGTTCCACTGGGATACTGTGAACCAAGACCTTTCAGACTAAGGATTAGCAATTAGAAGTTGAACAGAGAAGGGGACAAAGAAAACATGTAAACCCTTGCACAACACGCGCACACACCACACCTTTTCAAGATCAGAAAATAACGCAGAAATACCATGAGTCCCTTGACATCCTCAAACTTGTTCTCACAGATCACAGATCACCTGGCCCAATCTCTTCATTTTACAAGGCAGAAAATGCAATTCCAGCGAGAAAAGCAACCTACTCAAGGTCTCAGCTAGTGAAGAGCCAGTCATTCATCAAATCAGCAAATATTCATTGATCCCATATTACGACCAGGATCTGTGGGAAGCTCAGGGGAATACCATAGGGCAGAGGCTGGCAAACCAAAGCCTGCTGCCTGTTTTTGCCAATAAAGTTTTATCGAAGCCCAGCCTTGTCCATATGTTGTCAGTAGCTCCTTTTGTGTTATAGTGGCAGTGTTCACTTGTTCCATCCGGGACCACGTGACCCGCAAAGACTAGACATTGACTCTGACCTTTGCAGGGAAAGTTGGCCAACCCCTGCAACAGGGAATGAACTAGTCATGGAGTTTCAATCTAGAGGGCTGGAAATGGTACTTAAACCTCAGCCCACCAATGGAAGGGCAAGAATGCAACTCTCTGGATTCCCCCAGGATATTTTGAGGACCCTTTTTGGGGGGAGTGATGAAATATTAATTTTGCCAAGTTGAATCCCCTCCACTTTCTGTGGGTGGATTCTAAGTTTGGGAGTTTACATAGAGCTAAGTTTTTCTTGTTTTGTTTTGTTTTGTTTTTTAGGTTTTGGCCATAGGGCACATGTGCTTGCTGAAGAGAGACAGAGAGAAAGCAATCTGGGGATGGCTATCCTGCAGTCTTTTCTCCTCCATTCTCCTCCTGGGATTTTGGGTATGCATGTACTCACGCCCAGTGTGAATTTCAAGCTGCTGGATCCAGTACTCAAACTGTGGTTTGCCACATGGGAATCCAATGCCTTAACCACTATGCCACCTGCTGGCCCCTAGTGCCAAGTATTTGAAGGGATAGGGTGGGGTGAGTCACTGTCCACGTGCTGCGGGGTCATCCCACGTGCTCATCCTCAGGGCACTTGCAAACAGATTCTCTGCTGGACCCTTGTCACTCTGGGCCACAGGCCATCTTCAGCTGCTCCCTCCCATGCCTTGGGGTGAGGTCCTCTGTGAGGACCAGAACGCTTGGGCCACACGTCAGCCCTTAAAGCCACATGTCTGCTGCCCTGCTGCCTCCAGGAGTTCCCCCTGCTTTAGGTGTCTGTAGGCACAGCTCAGGCCCTGTCCACTTCTCATCTCCCCACTACTCCACGCCCTCTCTGTCCCTCCCTGGGACTTGTCAGTAGCCACATAATCGGCCTTTGTAATCCAGACCTCCTGCCCTGGGCAGCCAGGATAACCCTTTACAAATGCAATCAACAGGTCACTCCTCTGCTCCCTAACACCCCCGCCCCCTGTTTTCCATCTACAATGAGTCAAGTCCAGGCCTTTGCCAGAAGGCAAAGCGCCCTCTAGGGCGCTACATAAACTAGAGCCTTCCTGCCACTGCCCGGACTAAGCCGTCCCTGTTACTGGAAAGACAGCATTCGCTCACACAGGAAACATGGCTGCTGTGACGCAGGTTATTAGGAAAATCAGGAAAATCACGCATTGCTCTATGTGGAGTATAGACTAAGCTCTGAACCTACTGCAGGTATCATGAGAGGAGTGGGCTCGCCTTCGGGTACTGACCATCTTCAAGGTGAGGTACCATGTCTGGAAGCTTCCATGTCCCCACTAGGAAACCTGAGGACCCAGTCAGAGAGGCTAGCTTTCTGGCTTACCTCTCCCTTCCAAGGGGGTCGGGGTGGCAATCTTAAGAGTCTTTATTGGAAAATAAACACCATTAATGTACAAGAAATCCCATCCAAGGGTCCAGTCAAAACATCCCTGTGTGGACTGAAGCCATCCTAATGGGCTCCAGATGTCCCCCAATCTCAGTGTCCCAGTGACCTGAGGGAGGGAGGTGGGCTCAGGGGGAGAAGTGTGGAGGACTTGGAATCCAGAGGCATCTCTCCGTCCCGGCTTCTCTCTGTGTGGGACGGTTCAGGGGATCCCCCACCGTACCTTGCTCAGCTTCACAAGACCCCATTTGTCTCTGCCCTCGGTGATCTCGGCAACCCCTTCTGCTGAGCTGATTTATCTGACTAGCAGGAATGCCTGGCCCTGGTGGATGCCCTTCCACTCGGAATGGGGGCTGGAGGTGACCCCTCCAGGCCAGGCCAAGCTGGAGGCCCCCAAGTTCATGCCAAAGCACGCCAGCCCTTCAGAGGGAATTGAAGGAGCTGGGTGGGGACTGGCAACGGATGGGGAGTGCTGGGATGAGAGAGCTTGCAGAGAAGCCTCAGAAACCAGGAAGGAGGACACATGCTGGGGTCACAGAGGCACCCCAGAAATGGCTCTCCTGATACACGCTTTGCAGACGGCTGTTCACAGTCATGCCTTACGAACCTGTTTCAGGATAAGGTGTAGGGCCTTCGCACTTGCCGCCTCCCGCTCCCTCACGCGCCCCCATAGCCTGCTTGCTCTCTCCGGATGCCATGCCCCAGAGCTTTCCCTGCCCACCTGGTCCGGAATATCTGCCCCCTCTCCGTCTCATGCTCCTACCTCTTTCTCTTTTTCGCATTTTCCCCTGCAGCATTCTCGTGACCTGCTACTGGACAATGTTTATTTGTTGACTGTTTCACGTCTCTCTCCCTAGACTCCATGAGCCACAAGGAGATTCGTCCTGTTCGCTGCCGGGCCTCCAGCCCTCAGGTCAGGCCTGCACCTAGAGGGTGCTCAGTCAGCATTTCCTAAGCAACTGATGGAATAATGTAAAAGCATTTAAACCCTCTGGGTGAGCTTTTGGAATCAGGGCCCAGCAGGTGGCGTGGTGATTAAGGAGCAGGACTCCCACATAGCTGACCAGCGTGAGTCCTGGACCCAGAGGCTTGAAGCTCCTGCCAGGCACATGTGCATGCATGCCCAAAATCCCAAGAGGAGAATGGAGGAAAAGAGATTGTGGTGTGGTCATCCTCCCTAGAGGGTGATTTCTCACTTCCGTCTCTCTGGCAAGTGCACGCATTCTGTGGCCAAACATCTCTCAGAAAAGAAAAGAAACAAGAAAAAATTTAAAAAATCATCCCTCAGATTCGGCTTGTGCCCTTGGAAGAGTTTCAGACCCATCCCAACGGCTGTGGTCCCTACCCTCTCCACCCTTGGGGTCCCTGGAGTCCAGTGAGGCAGCTGGGCACTCTGACGATGCAGCTGCGTCTGGTCTGCTCTGCTAGGTTATGAGGGGCCTAAGAGCTGGGAGCGTGTCCTAGGCACCTCCTTCCTCATCCCTGTGTGGCAGAGAGGGCGGGGAATGACCACCGGAGGAGCCCAATAGCGGTGACAGCAATAATAGCAACCCTGTTAATAGGCGCACGGCCTATTGTAAGCCTCTCGACAGCCCCGGAGAGCAGGTCATGTACACCATTGCGTTGCTAACAGAGGAGGCACTGAGGCACAGAGAGTAATCGTGCTTACCCAGGGCCACATGGATAGCAAGAGGGGGAGCAGAGAGCTGGACCCCAGCCTTCCTGATCAGGAATTTGGCCCATGGCCCATTTAGAACCAAATCCAATGTCCGTGCTTTTGTTCAAAGCCTCTCAGACTGCTCTGGAATCCAAGAGAAATGAAGTCCCTGCCATCGGCCTTCAAGCATGGCT